AGGACTCTGTCCACGGATTATGATTTTTAATTTCAAAATCAGTTATGTTATTTTTGTTATCTATCATGTATAAGATGTTATATTTTGCTACCAAGATATTGTAATGAACCACTAGTTCAAGATTTGAAAATCTTTATACCAATGAATTTATAATTTCCTTCTGCCCCTGATTGAAGGGATTTTTTTTTTTTCTCCAAAGCATATCTAGTACTGCAGAAAGTCTGTCTAGGTGTTTGATGATAATTAGCTAGAAAATTAGCCTGCTAGAAATATTATTCATCAAAATGCCATTGAGTCCTAGGAAGATTGCAAACCTCTGCTATAAAGTGTCTCAGAGGCAGGCTACTTGGTTGCATCAGGTTTAAACCACATGAAGTATTGATTAAAGTCTTCCTCAATTAACTACTGCCAACTTGAAAGGCAAACCAGACCGTTCATGTGCCACTTATTTTAAGGGAACATTTAGGTCCAGATTCTCAACTGTGTTAGGGCTCAGTTGTACTACTCCACAGCAGCTTGCAGACGGCTAGCTAAGCTAATGGTTGCCTTTCTACCATACCAATACAAAGAGCAAAGAAAAGTACTCAAAATATGAGTCTATTTAGGCCAAGTTTTAGTATGTAACACCTTGATTCCTACTGAAATAAATGGCCATCTGAAGTTGCTACAATACAGATACCACTCTGTTATCAATATATACACGATAGTAGAGTTTGGGGTTTTTTTAATCATAACTTTTTTGAAGTGCCACAAGCATACACCCAGGGCTGCACGTGCTTCTTTGGTATAAGCTTTTGCCTTAAATACACTTTTCCTCTTGTTTTGTTATCCCCTTCCCTTCTCTCCATTCTACCACCTGTTTTTCATCCTCTTTTCTCCCTTGCCCATATTCCATGGGGAACTTTTGCTTTTAACTCTGTCAAAACATCAGGAGTCTTTTTTTACTTATTCCTCTGTGAACAGTTTATTTTTGAGTATAAATTCAATCTAGTTTTGTTAATTTTCAAGCAGATTATGACTGCTTTTGCAGCATTTATATTAGTAAATAATGGGTCTGCAGGACAAAAAAGAGCCTTTTAAGCCAAAGTAAATTTTAAGATGTTAAGGAGAACTGTCACCTTCTCTCTGATTGATCCTGAGTCTTAAGGGATGGACTACATCTGCTATAAGTTAGAATTATCATCCCGTTTGGAGAAAACCAAAGGACTGGAAAATATATGAAAAAAAAAGAAAAAACCAAAAAGCTCACAAACAAACATACTTCTGATAAAGATGCTTTGAATGTAATGAAATCAATCAAACAGCAATGCAAGGTGCATACTTGTCCTTTCCACCCACTTTATCTCAGGTGGTTTCACAGTTTCCAGGTAAACATGGAAAAAACAAAGTATGCTACTAGTGGGAAATTTTTTCTTTCCCCACTTCTTTGGATGAGCACCGAGAAGTATTTCTTCCATATTAAGTTACTCTAGTCTATGTTACATTTCTCCCCACATTAGCTTGAGTACTACATCAGGGCATGAAGTTAACATAGTGCAACACACAATGAACTTCTTTTGCTCCGTTGGGAACGACAATAATATGTGCTATGCTGTTGCTAAAAGCACATGAAATTGAGCATCTGTAGGACATTCTTCCTTGTAATTAGCATGCCTTGGCATGTTTCTTATTATTACATATTCAAAAAAGAGTGAACTAGTCTTTTCTTAAGTAAAAGAAGATAATGAGGAAAGCTAAAGTGATTAGGACATTAAGCATCTAGCAGTTCAGCAGTTGAAAGTCTGCCTGTCTCTGACAAAACCAGTCCAAATCAATTAAAATTCATAATTTGACCCAACATTAGAAGCAGAACCAAAAAAATAAATCCAAAAGGCAGACTCAGCTAAGGGATTTTCAGATACAAATAATAATCTTAATTAGTTAAAAAAGAGAAAAACTGTGACAAGAGGATTAGGCATAGGAGGATAATGTTTGCTACAAAAGCAGAGCAGGTAACTTTTTTTCTAGTTCCTCAAAAGATATAACACTGTAAAGACTAGTGAAGTGAGAGGGGGAACTTTTTTTTCCTGTGACCTCTATGTTACACGCACCATAGAAAAACCATTACTACGCTCTAATCAAAGGTATCATGAAAGTTGAAAAAAGTGAAATCCCAAACTCTTCAAATCAGTTGCAAAACATACCTCTGGAATTAAGGTCTCTATACCAGTAAGATTTTAGCAGAAACTAGACTTGATTGAAGAGACCCCTCTCTTCATGTTGGAAAAAGCCTTTCATCCAACAAGGGTCTGTTCCTGCTCACCTTGAGTTCTATAAGCCTTTCACTCCTGCTAGGCACTAATTGATTTCATTGAGGGCAGATGATTTCAATTAGCAATTTGAGCTCCAATTCATGACTATATATGGAAATACCTCTCAGAGGCAGTAACTGGTACTTCAGATCTGCTCTAACATCCTCTGCTGGGGCACAGTAGATGACATGTCAGAAAAGGGAGCTTCAGAGTTTTTTGGTTTTGGAGGTTTTTTTATATATATTTTGAGAGTTGTACAGGAGGACTGTGCTTTCCCCTTACAGTCTGTCCTTTGATCAAAGGGACTTTGGTTCAGATGCTTGCAGGCAATGTAGAGCTTGCATGCAATGTGTGTCCAATACAGCAGCAGCATAATCCTTATTTGTCACCTCTAAAGCAAGTGTAGGCAGCATTAGGATAGATATGTGTGATTGTATGAGCCAGGTGAACACTAAACAGCTGGATTTTATGTGTTATTCCCAAACTTTGCCCCACAGAACCCAGTGGGATAATGTGAATCGCAGTGTTCCTCTATGGTTGTACAGAGAGGTAGCACCTATTGACATTTCCTGTGTCTTCTTATGATTTTTGTACTCGTCATTCTTTGAATTACATGACATGATGGGACCCATCATAATCTACTTCCCCTTTTGTGTCCATGTTTCAACTCTATAAACAACATCTGAGAGTTTCTATGTGCTATCTTCATAATATTATAAATAAAACATAAGTGTGAAACGTTTTTAAGAACAATAAGAAGACTATTTTATTTCATAGAATCATAGCATCAATTATTTTACCAACTACTTCTTGTAATCTCATAGATTTGGCTATAATTGCACTTGTTTAACCTGTACATTATGATACCATAAACATCCATGTCTTTGTTCTAGCTATTCTCATTGTGTAATAAAAACATGTGATCACTCAAAATTCCATATGTAAACTGGGCAGGCAGTCTTTATAAATGCTGTTCTTAGGGAGGAGTTTCATGTGGTATTCCATATGCCATTGTCTTCAAGTCCATGGGATTTCAGAACTACTCTGCCTTGCCTTTCATCTGCTTGCCCTCCAAGGGATTGCCTTGTGGTGGGCAATTGAGAAGGTATCAATAAGTAATTCTGAATGCCACTTTGTGCCAGGACTTTTCCTATATTTTATTTTTTCATTTAAAGAACATTACAGATATGCTATCAAGGAACAACACTGTTCATCTGGTATTTTTGGCATAAACAGAAAATGTGAATTAAGGCTTTCTAGTAAATACTATGAAATTAATTTCTTGAGCAGAATAATGTGTTATCTTTGGGTTATTTTCCTGTGAAAGTAGAGACTAAAATTTTGATTACGCATGGATAGTATCTTTTCCAATATATTTCTATCAGTGCACTGATTTGGCAACCATTTAGACCCAAAGGTCAGGGCCATTCATAAGTCCCATTGATTTCAAAGTTGAATGTCTGCCCAAGATTAAACACATAGAGGAATGCTTTCCTAAATCGATTTATTTAAGTCTGTATGTAAGTTGAATAAGGGCCTAAAGTCAGCAACAAATCAGAAAAGAGAATGAGTTTGTGCCAAATATGTTTATGAATACCAAAACATACGAGACAAGGAACACAATTCTTACTTGGATTTGAACCAAGATCCCTAAACGTATAAGCTAACCTTATATTTAACTTTCATTTCTTTTGAAGCTCATAGCTTAAATCTAAATGGTGAGACGGGTTACATTTACCTGTACACACGGGTGGCCCTTCCTTGTCTTCTGCTCTGCATCTGGATTTATTTCTCAGAGAAGTAGTGATACTTCCCACTATCAGCAGGAGGGATAGTGCCTGCTTGCATTTATCTTGCTAGGATGGTACAGAAGATATACCTAAACTCCAGAACTGGAAAGGGCTCTGGACCCACAAGCTCAGGGTTGAAATCTTTTGTTTTCTTCGATGTCTTCAAACAGAAGTTTATTTTGAGTTTCTGAAGTAGAGAAAGTAGAAAGCAAGTAGAAAGCCATCCTAACAAACACAGGAGATTATGAATCTGGCAGAGCACCATGTAGATAAAAATGGTTTTAATCATTACTCCCTGTTTTAATTACTACTTGACACATTATCTCTATTGTCCTTCTACAAGTCTGTCTTTTGAATGAAATATTGAAGGCGAGTTACAGCTGAAAATATATGCAGTCTAGAAAGAAAATGGCTTTGAACTATTTGAAATGATTTATTGTCCACATTTCTTTATGAATATTTATTTGCTGTAGTGAAAGCGATTCAATAAAGAGAAAACATGAGGACCAGTTAACTGAACATTTGCATACTCTAACGGTTAAAAAAAGGAAAAGAAAAATAATAGGGTGCATTAGAATGGTGTTAATGTTTTGGTTCTCCTGTTTCCCGGAGTTAATTCATTAATATGCGAGATTCAGATCCTGAAGAGGAGATGTATAAATAGCCTACAAATAAGTGTCCCTAACCTTTATATATTCCCATTCAGAAGGAAATAAATATGTTTGTAGGCGATTTTCAAGGCCAGAGTGGAGTTTTGTTTCTGTACTTCTTCAGGTAGCTGGCTATGAAAGCCTGCTTTTTGCAACAATCATATGTAATCTAAGTCCTCATCTTGTCAGGACCAGAGATCACTCATTCCCCTATACTCCTCAGAAGAGCAGCAGGTGTACCTGGCTATCAAAAGGAGTCATGAGCACACTGATTATTTTGCCTTGTAAAACATTTAGTATTTAAACATGGCTACATGCACCAAAACCAAGACCACACACACAGCAGTGATGCTGCTTTCCTTCCACCCTCAGTGGAGGAACAGTTTTTCATGGTATGTGCCCTCATTTACCCCTGCTTGAATTAATTTCATCGACCGAAAAGCACTATGCGTTAGACTTGGAATGAACTTTGTTTCTCAGAGCTTCTTAGTGATATTCTGATACCCAGTCACAGATGGGGCCTTGACAGATTTTGTATGGATTTTCATGATTCCTTTTTTCTTCTTCTTTTTTTTTTTTAAAGCAAGATTGTTGCTGCTTGAGAATTCAAATGCAAATGGAGATGATCACTGGCACAAGGAAGCTCAGTTGGCTGGTTTATAGACCTTATAAAGTGAATAGTATCACACACAGTATTTGGAAAAGGATAATCTTAATATATAATAGTTCTAGAGAAGGATGGTTACAGTAGTAAAACAAAGACTTTGGACAAAGACATAAATTCTCTATGCATCAATGTTCATTTGTTGGAGCAAGACTGATAATAATAATATTTATTTGTAGTAACAATTATCATTATTATCTACCTGAAAGATAGCTGTGAGGCTAATTCATTAATATTTTGAAATTACTTCACAATCTTCAACTAGAATTTGCCCTGAGAGTACTAAATATAATAATTTGCTCTCTGTGCTTATTTCATTTTGCTGTGGAGAAAAACACAGTTAATGCGTTTCTCTCTTTCCATTTGTCTGCATAACACATACTAAAATTCCAGATGCTTCTGTAAAAGTTAACAGGCAAACTTGACATTACTGTATTTTTTCTTATTTCTTCCTCTTTTGTCATAGCATTTTACACCCACATAGATATTACAATATCATTGTCATCTGGGAGGTTGTTGCTGCTGGTACAAATATATAAATTGAGATCCACACTTGCTGTTTATCTCCTTGCCTGAATTTGGAGTTGACAGTGCAACCACACATTGCTTGTCTGAAGTCAGAGCTCTCTTGATGTACCACTTTAATGGTATTGTGTGTAATCAGGGAGTTTCTTTAAGTTACACATAGTTAGATGCTACACCATATTAAATGCTTGATTATATTTGTATGTATGTCAAATGTTTTCTTCATCTGGCAGTTTACCAAGTCCTCCATTTATTGGCAAATGTGTATCAGTTATTCACAATTGAAGATACCCAGACCCATTTCCTCTGGTTGTTATCTGTTGGATAGCTAGACTCTAATGGCTAAAATCTACGTCTACCAACATAAAAGCCACAGGATATGACACTGGTATCTTGTGGTTCCAATCAGCCTCCTGGTATTATAGTATTACTTTTATTTAACTGTGTTTCTACTGAGTTCAGCGTGCTCCAGCGATGCTGGCTGTTTTACATAGCATCTGCATTGTATATTGTGATAATTGAAAACTCAATACAGCCCAGAGGCAGCAGCACAATGGGATGGGAATGGGCTGAGGGATAAGTCAGAAGAATAAGGCATGCAGGCAGCAGCAAGCAGGGCAAAGCCAGCCCCAACACATCTCCACCAGCAGTCGAGCTGGGTCAGGCATCCGGCAGCTGGGGGTCCCATGGCGTGCGGCAGCTCTGGGAGCAGCAAATGCCCAGTGCAGTGCCTGGGGGAAGCAGAGCTCCGGGTGTCCCTCCATCTGCTGTCATAGGCTGACATCTGGGAGCACAGACCGTAGGCAGAGTCCAAGGCTCACCTGGAAAATTACATGAACAGATCAAAACCAGATTCAACACACTTCACTGACAGCTCCTGTCCTGTGCACATGCCCAGCCCTTTGCAGGGTGGTTCCTATTCCTAAAATGTCATCTAAGCATTAGCAGAGAACAGGCCAGATACTTTTCTAGTGTTTCAGAAAGGTAACATATATCAATAAATATCACTTGCTATGTGAATGCTCATAATTAGAACTAAAAAAAATTACTTAAATTAAATGACTGGAGTAGGGCACAGCCTTTCTTCCTATTAGCCTATGTAGAAACCGTAAAAGGAGACAAGAAGAAATAATGAAAAAACAAGTTGTGGTATGAAGAATAGAAATATTTCTTGCCTGTCCTCTTGGCTCTATCTGTGAAGATTTTGTCAAAAAACCTCAGCCAAAACTATTCAGCAAGTGATTTTTGGGCCTGGCTGATGGAGGGTCTAGTTGTCTCAGGGGGCAGCCTTGCAGGCAGGAGGTTTCCCAAGAAGCAGACTAGTAGGTCTCTGCAGTGGGAGTCACAAGCTTTTCATGTGAGCAGCGCACCTGAGCTGATGGGATGGTTTGACAGGGTTAGGTGTGGCCCTACCTTGTAGCAGCACCCCCAGAAGTTGCTGTTGTTAGATTGTCCCCACAGACTGAAGATCTACAGCTTTCCATGGGTGATTTGGCATGGTGAAGAAGGAAGGAAGATGGGCTAGTCCACGAAACTTAGGCTGTACAGCTGTAACATTGAGATAGGTTGAAACATTCCACCCATTGGGACTCTCCTTTAAAAGCATGTTTGCATAACAGATTAAACCACACAGTATATTTTTATAAAACTACCCAGTATGTCTTTATAAACAGATTTAAAACCACCCATAGAAGCAGGTCACACCAGTTCCTGCCCTCCCTGTAGCTCTGGCCTTGCTCTCCACTCTGCCCAAATTCAGCAGCTGCAGTAGTTCGGCTCCCTGGGATCCTGCCCAAAGCCAGGGACAGCCCCTGCCAAGACCCCAGAAGACACCATGCCACAGGGTTTCATCCCACCCAAGGCTCTCTACCACCTCATATCCTCAAGCTCTGCTCCCCAAATGCCGGTGCCTCTGAGGCACAGGTCCAGTGGGTAGGAGTGGGAATCTGGGCATTTGTTTATGTTTTTATTTCCAAACTTTCTGCTAGAAGTGCACCCTTTTAGGGCTCTGTTTACGTTCTTTGCATTAGGGGTGTAATAATGTAGTTTTCCTGTTCATGGCATACTGTTAATTAATCATTATTTCCAAAGTTCTATTAAATTGTCAGACAGTGGCATCTTTTACTTTCCTTTGACTCTTCTCTTACCTTTTTCTTCTTCTCTTTAGTATAAGGAGTCATCAGTGGTGAACCGATTATAGGAAACTACTTTACATCATCAGTTCAGTAGTAGGACATACTTCTTAAATCATCTAAGATAAATACTTTTAATTAAGCAAATGTCCTACTCAATTCACTGTGGACAATCCCATAATAATGGATATTACTTCTGCGTGCTAAATCTTAGTCTTCATCAATACTGAATGCACAACACAAAGCCATTATAAAAAATGTAGGCTTACTGTAATATTGCCATTTTAAAGCTGCCAGCTTTTATATTCATTATTATGATGACAACAAACCCCTGGCTAACAAATCTTACTACAAATCAGAATTTTTATCCAATATATATATGATATCAAATCTGTGCTAGCCTATTATTTGCAGTTTTTATTAAAAAGTTAAATTGAGATTATTATACACTCTCTTCAGATTCCTTAATGAAAAAAAAAATTAAAGTTAAAATCTAATGAGATTTCCTGGAAGCATTTTAAAAGGCTGCAACAGCAGTAAAGTCAGCAGGCACCACACAGTGAAAGGAAGTATTTACCGATCAGAAGATGAATGCCTCTTCACCCAGAGTTTAACGGTTTTACATTATATGGATTTTTGAGAGGGGGAGAGAGAGAAGGAGAAAGCAAGAAAAACTCCAAGCCAATGCTTTCCTAATCTAAGACATCATATTGCTTCCTGCTCAAAGCTTTCAAATTCTGGTGTAAACTGACTTCTTGCTCTTGTGACCAAAATCTCTTCTCTTTCCCCCGCCTCCCTCCATCTGTTCAGGCTTGGATTTGAAAGTCCCTACCGCAGAGGAAGAAAGCCTGATCCCTATTGCTTCAGTTGTGGTGTTGAAACCCATTAATATTTCTCTGGCAGGTACCCTGACCCTGGTGCCCTTGAACATGCTTAAAAAACATAGGGTATCCCTGAGCCTTTGTCCCTGAGAGGATTAACAGGGTTGCCCTGGAGCCAGCCTGAAGGTGTTTTAATAGGTAATACGGGTGGGCTTCACAGCGGACTTCAAGCTTTGCCTCAGGCTGCCCCTGCTCAGCAACACAGATGCAGCCATTGAAATTAGGGGGTAAAGCATGGCTCTGTGCATGAGTTAGAGTGTGAATCCTTAGAATCTGGTGGAGGATATCTCCAAATACCTCCTTCTCCCAGTAGGGCAGGCAATCCAATGGAGGGTACAGGGACTAGAGACTTGTGCTGCTTCTGCCACTCACTTCTTCTCTGACCTTCGGTCGGTTACTTAAGCTATGTCTCCCTCTCTCTATTCTTCTATCCTCTCTGGTCTCTCTTATGGCTCTTTAGTTTATAAATTGTCTGAAGAAGGGGCTGTGGTGCTGTATGGTTTTGCTGTGCTTAGCACAAGTAGGTCCCAGTCTCAGCTGGGTCCTGTGGCTATATCACAGTAAAAGTAAATAAATAGATAACAGTGGTAACAATAGTTTGGGTTTTCTTTGTATGAACAGTGGGTTCCTAATGGAGGAAAAGCCTCTTCTCTGAGTTTTTTTATCTGCAAGTGAAAGTCTCTCTTTCCTCGCTCAGCTGGAGAAGATACTGCCTTTGTAAATCAGACAAAACTTATCATGTAAAATGAAACACATCTTTGATTATACCGAATACTATCCTGTCTGTAATTTACTCTTGCTACTGCAAAGGACACAACATGATTAAGCTAAGAAACGACAGACTGAACATTATGTGTCAGGATGGAAAAAGATTTTTCCTATCTAAATAGGAAGCAATCATCAAAAAACAGTGAAAACACACAAGAAAATGTTTTAACATACAATAAACAAGCCATCCCGCTGTTGCCTTATATTGTATTGTTGCTCTTCTTGCTCAGATTGCTGCAGATACTTCTCCTGTAGCCTAAAATATTCTTTATTTTTTAAAAACTACAAACTGTCATGATTTTTAATGATGTGAGTATCTTTCCTCCATAGGTACATATGCACAGTCTGCCAACTCTCCTGTGTTTCCCTGGGTGAATCCAGATTCTCCCAGTGGCATTTCTCAAACTGTAGATCTGTACAGTGTATTTTCCCAGAGCTGTTAAAAACATTGCTACTTAATAACAATATTTAACAGTACCAGCTATCACTCCTTATTTGGTATACACCAGGTGCTCTGCACAGGGGGAGAGGGTTTATCATCATGGTTTTACAGCCCAGAAAAACAGGGTGTTGCATGTGGTACCAATTTCCCCAAAACATGCTGCACAACATTCAAACAGGAGAAGGACCAACATACCATCAGCTCACATTTTATTCTTGGGCATGTTACTACTTTTGTTTCCTCTAACATTACCACTTGCACTGTGCCCTCCCAACAGCATTTCAGAGAATGATTACAGCAGAGCCAAGTGCTTTTGCAATAGCAAGCTCAGGTACTACAGCGAACAATACAAGTAACTTTCCTGATTTTGGAGTGTGACTTTGCCATGTGTGATGTTTAGTAACTTCTAACGTGTCTCTGATGATTTCTGGGTCTGGTGCCAATAACGTGATACATTCCTATCCAAATTAGCATATGATGATATTTTGTGCTAGTACTCCAATAATAAGGTCTGTTTGTTGTTTCCATATACATGTATCTTTGACAGGAAGAGCAATTCTATAATAAGCCCAGGATGAAAAGCCCATCAATTGAATTGGTACCACATTACCATGGCAACAATATAATGCTAATGAAATTGCGTCTGTTGAACCTGGTTTATGGAACTCTACAAAACAGCCTTCACAAGAGGAGAAATCTTGTTGATTAGTAAATGTTTCAAAGCATGATGAAAACCTTAGAATCACATGTGCTGTGACTTATTAACCATGTTATCCTCGTTTAATACATTGCTCTTTGTAAGAGCAATACTGCTCTCAAAAAATAAAATTATATGGCAAAATCTGTGTTTCTCCAGGTTTCAACATGCACCACAGACAGACCCAATCACCTCCATGCCCTGGTTTCACTGGGTCAGTTTGCATAGATGCATATTGAGTCATGCAGTTTTTGCTGCTTATTTAATCTCTCTTAGACTCTGTAAAATACACTGTTGTAGCTATAATTTCTGTAAGAAAAATGTGGCTTAGTTTATATCAAATTATTCCACAAAAACATATCCTTTTAGATTAAACCCTACACAGAGAAGGTGTGGTAGCAGAAACACACTCTTGGCTTCCCCCCTCCTTCCTTCCCCTTTGGCAGTTTACTGACATATAGATGTGGCAGTATAGAGGCAGGGAGCCACCCTCCCAGAGGGATGGGTCTCATTCCTCAGGACAGCAGTCCTTGCTGAAGGCAAGGTTTGATATTGTGCCTGCTTTTAAACAAAAATGCTGAGCACTCAGATTTCCTGGCCAGTCGTGTCTCTGGACAGCCAAAAGGCTTCTGGGGAGTTGCCTCTCCTCTAAGTGTCTGGGGCTTCAGTGTTGAGGTTTTTACAGCAGGATCTCATTTTTAGCCAATAGATAATATTCCTTGTTGTTTTCACCTTGGAAATACAGAGTGTAGCTCATCCTATAGAGTCCATCTCCTAATTTGCCAGGTACATCAGAACAGAACAGCAGGTGTGCCAGCAAGCAATGTGCTCAGTGAGGCAAGGGGGCTACAAATGTGTGTCTACAAGTTTTTCTCCTTTGGTAGGCTAACAATACTGTCAAATAGTCACCACTGTAGTTTTGTCTAGGTATTTAGCAGAAACAATGGGAGAGAACACTGCTCATTTTAGTGAAGTCCTGATCTACATGGCACAGAAGTCAGCAGAAATCTTCATAACATTAGATTTAATGGGCTTTAGATCAGGGCTTTAAAGGGCTGTTTCTGAAAGCTCCATGATCGACCCTATTTGGAAAAGGAAGCCCTGTCTAACATTTCGTTATGCCCATGGTTTGTGGGAAAGCAACACACCGAATTTCTGAGTTGATAGAAATATAATGTAATGTAATTTCCCCTAATATATATTTTGCATTGGATGACAGTTTTATTAAGCAGAACTAATAATCATCATTATTCAGTGTAATAACCATCTCATTAGAAATGGTCTGATTTTCCATAATTTTAATTTACCTCTCAGACTAAGCTATTCTAAAATTACTGAGGTGCCTACAGTGCAGTTTTGTAAGACTTAAGCAGAAACATAAGTCGTCAGAAAGCAACCACTGACTGAGTGCTGCTAAAATAGTGATATGCCAGAGCATTGTGAGAGAAAAGGAAGTACAGAAAATTCAGGTTAGGAAATTACTATATCACTTTTTATTTTCTTACTGTGTTAGAAGTAACACATTTTGCACCCATTTTGCACAAACAATGAGAAATTGTATGGTTTCCTTCAAGCCTTGGATGCACTACCCTTTAATAAAGGATGGCTAAGGATCACTCTCACCAGAG